TTCATTTGCCCATTCATTTATTCACCATTTATCGAGCATATACTATATGGCAGGTGCAGGAATCTGCTTTCAGTTGTCCCCTATCTCCATTGTAGAAGTCATGGATTTTGGCCTTTTTTTTTTTAATTCAACCCCACGCCAATCCTTGACTCTCACCTTCTTCCTTAGGACGTGTATTTAAAAGATGAATATCTTGGATTAAGTGTACGGTGGGTCTTGGAACACAGTAGAGTTAACAGATGACAAAGGGATTAAACCTATGACTTTGGGCTTGTTAGCATGGTGTTTTTTAGTTAACTAATAAACATGGGCAACCTATATAACCTTAGACATTATCATTTAACATAAAGTACTAGGATTTGCAAAATCATTTATGTTGTCTAATGACAGCTTCTCAGCAATTGTTAAGAGACTCTTATTTTTGCTATTTTAGCACCTTCCCTAAAAGGATGTGTTTGCAGAGATTTCTCTTCTGAATTTACACATGCTGTGGTTTTAAGTGTCCTATTATTAACTTGAGCCACATGAAATTGTGTTTTTACAGGTCAAAACCAGTGAGATATTGGCAACTTCATATGATTATAATATAACCTGGTAAGTCATAAGCAGCAAAGGATGGGAGGCAAATGCCACTCACTGGAGGGGGAACTTTGACTCTTACACATTTTCATTCTGTTTAGTTTAGTTTTGTTTGTTTTATGCCACTAAGGAAATTTGGACAAGTAATTTCACCCTGTACATTGGTTTTTCGATTAATTAAATGGGAGACATTGCAAACTTGAATAGAATTTTTAAATGCTTATTTGTGTATAAATCATTATAGATCACTGGAAGTATAAATGTCGTTTATTCTCCAATTAGTTAAATGTTTAGATCATTGTGCTTCTCATTTGGGCAATGTAATGCTTCCAACACTCAATTCCTTGGCAAATTGGAAATAGGTATTTTGAAAAACCTTGATGATCATTATCATTAGTTGACTCAATTATTCCACATCTGCTATCCACAAACTATACCTGATACATGCTATCTCTATACCCTCAAATACATCTGCAGCTGACAGATGGAAACTGGAACTGTATTTAAATCATGTGCCTGTGCTTTTGGCCAGGTGGTCACCTCTGATTATTTCAAGAATTGAAGTATCTTATTTCCATTACTCACAGGAAACCACATGCTAGTTATATAAGATCTAAATTTTCATATCTGGAATTTATTCAGGCTTCCCAGAGAATAGTTATGTTTTCAAATCTGGATAAAAATAAGCTTAAAGACATAGGCTAGCCTTTTTGACTTTGATCTTAGAGATAAAACCGTAAGAACTAACAACTGTATGTGGCCTAACATTCTACAGTTTATTGATGCTCAGAAGGGACGAGAGAGCTCCCTGTGACCTTTTTATAAGAGCACTGATCCCATTCATGAGGGCTTTGTCCTCATGACCCATTCACCTCCAAATACCATCATATTGGGGATTAAGTTTCAACATAGGAATTGGGGGGGGGGGGCACAAATATTCGGTCAATAGCAGATGGTGTCTAATTAATTGGGCTGATTGGCTACTCAGAGTTACAGGTTTAATATCGGAGTAAACATATCCACCTTCCCTTTGTTATATATGAAGGAAATACCCCAAGGTCAAGGAGTTATGACACATTGTCAATGGCATTTAACTCCAGTTATTTTAATCATGTCCATTCAGCTTGTTCAAATTCATATTTGTTCAAATACTTTCAATCAATCCCTTGATCTGCTACCAGCCAAACTGCAAGCCTTGAGACAAGTAATCTGGTTATGGTCTGCTGACCTATGGCTATTTTACCCAACACATGAACCTTAAGTTTAGATCTTCAAAGAGTGGAAAACGCTTTTCCAGTTACAGCTGATTTTGTAATTATGATCCTCAACTTACAATGGTATTACATCTCAATAAACCAATGGTAAGTTGAAAATATGCATTAATAAGTCAAAAATGCATTTCATACACTTAATCTATTGAACATCGTAGCTTAGCCTAGCCTACCTTAAACATGCTCAGAGCATTAACATTGGCCTATGGTTGGGCAAAATCACCTAACGGCCCATTTTGTAATAGAGTGTTGAGTATATCATGTAATTTACTGAATACAGTATTCAGGAAATGCTGGCAAACACAGTACACGATGGAGTATTGTACTGCTTACTGTCATGACTGTGGCTAAGAGCTGCGGCTCACTGCTACTGCTCGTCCTCACAAGAGTATCTTACAGCATATCTCTAGCCCAGGAAAAGATCAAAATTCAAAATTCGAAGTATGGTTTCTATTGAATGTGTGTCACTTTTCCACCATCACAAAGTCAAAGAATTGCAAGTTGAAACACATATGTATTTTGATAAAATAAGCGTGTATGTTGTAGTTTCGAGGGTAAAAACAAAAAGAAACAGCATTTAACTTCCAAACCTAGGAGAAAGAAAAACAAAAATGACCAAAAAAACCCCCAGAAAAACAAAAAAGTTGAGTAGACAGGATAAATAGGAAGTACGAAGTATGATAAACCAGATATATTTTAATCATTACATTGTTAATGGACTAATGTTCCAGTTAGAGGATAAGACTGTCAAACTGGACAAAAACAAAACCCAACCATATGAGGCTTACGAGAAGCACATCTAAGACAAAGATACAGAAAGACTGAAAAAGAAATGCAAAATCAAAACCCGCTAGCAAATACTAAGCAGCGCAAAGCTAACGTAATACAGTGGTAACAATTAGATTTTAGGACAAAAAGTATTAATAGTAATGAAATGGGACTTCCATGATGAAATTTTCAGTCCAGTAGGAAGATACAAGATTGAATTTGTACCTAATAATAGCCTCCAAATAAAATAAAAATTGATAAAACTAAAATGACAAATAACATACATTCACAATCATAGAGGGAGATTTAAAAATTCCTTTCAGCTTTCAGTAATAGAGCAGGGGAAAAATCAGTACATATACAATTTGAGCAACATGATTAACATATTTAGTACACACATATAAAATTCTCTGCCCAAGCGCTGGCTGGGTGGCTCAGTTGGCTGGAGTGTAGTCCCGTTAGGGCACATACCTAGGTTGTGGGTTCAATCCGATTGAGGCACATACAGGAGATAACCGATCGATGTTTCTCTCTTCCTCCCCTTCTACTCTCTCTAAAATAAATAAATGAATAAATAAATAAAATGGAAAAATATCCTCACTCCTTGGGTGGGGATTGAAAAAACAAATTCTCTGCCCAATAACTGCAGAACACATGTTCTTTTCAAACACATGTGGAACACTTACAAAAACTGACTATAGATTGGGCCACTAAACAAGTCTCAACAAATTTCAAAGGTCTGAAATAATATAAAATCTTTTTTGTTTTGGAAATTAAGAAACACATAAGAAACTCGTAAGTCAAAGAAACCACATGGAAACTATAAAATATTTTGAACTGAACAACAACATACACACTAATGTACAAGTTTGGTCTCAGGAGGAAGTCTAGATAGTAAGTAGACTTTGCATTAAACGGCTTATAGATGAATGAATGAATTCAACCAGAGTACAGGTAGCGGGGACAATAATAGAAGTTAAGGCTCCGTCTTTTAAAGGCAGGCAAATAAGGAGGCAGTCAAGGGTAACAAGGGGGGAGATCAGACACCTCTGAGGCCTGAGTAAGCAGGGCTCCTCCCTCAGCCCCCACACTTCAGGGATGCTTGTGCTTTAGAGTGCCTTCAAGATTTACAAATCCTCCAGTTCCTGGGACTAAGCGCGGCACCCTGAGCCTGGATTTGGTCCTATGTGGGACCTGGTTGCCAGAAGTACCTCTGGAGATTTTCTAAGTCTCACTTTGGTGCCTGAAATAGGTGTAATTTCTCTCCTTTGATCCATGCTTGGTGTGGACCAAATGCCCCAGGGAGCTCTGGGTCTGGTGTCTACAGAAACTGCCCTGGGTCTGAAGAGTGGACCCCTCTCACTAGCTGAGCAATATGCTTTCACACAACAGTATGAGACTAGGCTGCCAAAATGGAACTGACTAGCTTTTAGGTGAAGATCATATTGGACACAGAATAAATTCAGGGTTTTGGACTACCAAAGGTGACCATGGGCCCTTGGGATTGTATTGTATGTGTGTGGGACGGGCTGTTCACTGGCTCTCACTTTTCTTTGTTCCATTTACGATGCTGCCTCTGGTCTACAGACCCCCAGGCTTGTAAGGGTGGTGGCAATGTTCTTTATCCTGTCCATTTGCACCAGGAAGTTTACCCTACTCCTCTCCAAAGGTTATGCACTTTATGTTGGGCCAGGCCTCTTTCATCTGAGGCCTTTCAACGTTGTTCCACAAAGCCAAACGGCCCCTTACAATCAATGTCCTCTCTCGTTTCCAAATGATAGTGACTGTCCTCTCCAGAATTCACCTTAAGACATGCTGGCGAAGAAATGGATATTCTCTACACAAATAAAACCACTCTTCCTGCTCCACCCATTGGCCTCCTGCCTTTTTTACTCAAAGTGTGGCCAGAAATGCAGTAATTAGAGCTTAAAACGTTCAGAAAACATGGTTGGAATGTGTTCTATGTTTATGCTATAAAAGCCCAAATGGTAAATATATGACCGGAAAATAATTATCTACTTTGCTGCACCATCTGGGTAAGACTTGCATTTTTGGTAATAATCAATGAAGCACAGTAACAATCTTTGACAGTCATTGGAAGCCAGTATTCACAGGCACAATGAATTCAGCATAAGCAATGATGTGTGACCACCATTAAAAAAAAATGGTGTTAGGGAACTACAGAGGCCAGATCCATATGGTTCCATATGAGCAGGTCCATGGCATTGTAATAACATTTCTACTCTTATTGCAGTGGGAGATATGAAATTAGCCAGAAATGGCACAGTTGACAATAAAGAACATGAGACTATTTCTAAGGCTTGAGGAAGAGATGGTGCCCGTATACTGTAAAACACCTTCACGTGCATGGATCAGACAATAAACATGCACCTTTTCTGTTATTCTGTATCTTCATTGACAAACTAGTTTACCTTGCTTGGGTCCACACATTTTATTACAGGAGGTTAACAGAGATAGTAAAGGTTTCACAGCTAAAAGGTTTAGCTCAGGTGCAGCTAAGAACTTGAGTGTCTAGAAACTCTCCTGATTTTTGCTATTAGCACTTCAAGTTTATCTCCAAGCACAGAACTTATCGGATACTGTTTGTTTACTCTACTAGACCATGAATTTGAGGGAAGGGCCTTGGCTTTCATCTTTGTGTTCCTAGTGCCTAAATGTAGAAAGCATATAATGAATATTTATTAAATAAAATAGTCAGTTTCACATTTAGCTCTAAATAGTCAGTTTTCATTGACCTTTTGTCTTATCCTCAGCCCAGATTCTGCTGGGTTAACTGCTTCTCTACCCTGATCACATAGCAACATAAATGTAATACTCATTAGAAACCTTTCATTGCATTTGATGCATTGCAGTGAAACTGTCCGTAATATGCCTGTCTTACCCAGTAAAACAAAATCTTTGTTCAGTGATCAGTGATCTTGTAGCTTGGTATCACAAACTCAACACAGTAGTTGGCCTAATACACAACAGGCATTTTCTGAGCTGAACAATTAATGAAGATTTCAAGCTTTGCTTTGCAAAGGTTTTATTTCTGAACATACATGTGAGTTCAACAAATAATCTTAACAAGCAAAACCAACAATACTACCAAAGTACAATCAAAAATATAAAGTGCCAAATTATCTGAATCAGAGCATTCTGGATAAAGCACAGAAAAACAATTGCTTTCCCATTTTAAAAGGTGCAATAGCACCTCTTTTCTCTTTGTGTCTCTTCAAGTGTTCAAAACGGTAATAATGCTTTCCATACCAATGGAGGCGAACGTTTCCAAATAGACTCCCCTTTAAACATTCAGCCACTGGGTTCAGGTGACTTTTTATGAAAACAATTCAGGCGACCAGGCGCTTTTAGTTTCAGGCACTGAAGGTGGCCAGTTTTCTGAAAATGAAGGGCAGCATCTGACTTCTGAACAAGAACCAAGTCCCAAAACTGATTCTTTGGAAATCCAGCCTGAGTGTGTACTACTACAGTTAGGGGTTTTCTGGTTTGTAACTACTGCTGTAAGTGTATTCTTTAAATTTAACTCCTTTTTAATTAAACGTTTATTGGTTCTTTGTTTGACATGTTTCAGTTTCTTTCTCAGTAATGGGTTCTGATCAGGAGAATTACAGGCAGCAAGGCATTTTCTTAGACCCGTGGCATGGAATCCAAGCATATCTGAAAGAAATGCTTTTTTTGTGGTAGGAGGGACCCATTCATCAATGTCAGATTCAAGGCATTCAGCAACAGGACAGAGGCTGAAAACCTCTGGTTGTATAATATCAGGTATAACAGGGCTTCTGGATTTCTGGCTAGGTGTTTTTATATTTTTTGGACAGCTGGGAGAGGCTTGATGTGCCTCATTTTCAGAGAAAATGCTTGTTTTTTTATAGTTAGTATCAAGATCTGAATAAAAGGCAGGTAGTTTCTTGAAAGCTCCTGTCATCCCATGAATTCTTGTTTGGTGGAATCCTGCAACAGGAGTTGACTGTGAACATGGAACAAAGTCTTGGCTATCTTCGACATCACTTTCTGGATCTAATGGAAAATGTGGTGAAGAGCATGTTTCTGGATACATGGAGGCAGATATGTTTTGCAAGGATAATTTTTGTGATGATTGGCTGGAGTTTTCTGAAAGTAATCTCAGTGAAAAATCAGATTCTAGATGATGACTTTCTGCCAAAGACTTTCCCCATTGTAACAAAAGATCCTGTGATTTTTTGGTGGTTTCGGTTGCCATGTCCATTTCTTTAGCACTATCATCAAAGAGATCAGCAGAAGCATTGTAGCTACCTTCATGACCAGGAAAATAGTTCTCTGTTAAATTATTATTGATATGTCCATAAGGCATTTCTTTCAATGTATTTGTACTTCTATTTGGAGTACTGCAAAGAGCTTCTAAGGAATATGTAAGTTTCCTGCAAATTGTAAGACTGTCACCTTGGTTCTTTGGCCACCTACTATATTGTTTATTTTCTAAGTTGCAAAGGTCAGAAACATCATTATACCTCCTGGAAAACAAAGTTGTCAACTTTTCACTCATTTCCAAAGGTGATTTTCCTTCACATCCATTAAAATATTTGATATCGAGACAAGAATGGTCACTCTCTGAAGTACTGTGTGTATGTGAAATCGCAGCCCCACGTGGTGAAATTCCGGTAGACTTTCTAAGAGTAGATGTTCCTAAATCTTTTGAAGATGGACACAGAGTTGACAGAGAAGCGTTTGGTAGAAAACATTCAGAAATATCTGTTCCATTTCTACTTCTAGAGACAGCCTCAGCTGTGTTATCTGGTTGTGACTCCTCCTGAACACTAGGAGCTGGATTTGCTCCACAGGTGGAAAGGAGGTTACCTTTGCCAGAGTTTGCTTTGACTGTTGCTTCTGATGATCTTAAAGCTATAGGTGGTGTACACGAGGCTCCAGCAGTTCCCTGGGGAGTCACAGATAAACTGCTGTGGTCTGCATGTAATTTTTCGATGCCATTATCTAGATGACGCTTCCTACTGCTGGCATCTGTCGGGGTTATAGCAATTTCACTTTCGATAACTGCCAGAAACTTGTTTAAGCTTTCAGAGAGTGGCAGATCATCCCAAATCTTGGGGTCATAATCCTGGGAATCACCAGCTATCTCTTCAAGTCTGAGTGATGTAGGTGGACAACACATAGATCTTTCCTGAAGGCTCGGGGGAGTACTGACATCATGATGCTGGTGACATGTTAGCTCACGCTGGGAATAGCTCTTTTTAATATCCACTGCACTATGGAAGGATTTTGCATTACTTGGTTCACGGGGCTCTTGCATTTTCAAGGGGAATAAATTAGAACCAGTAACTCTAATTTCATGACTGCTGTGAACTGCACTTGGCTGATTAGCTTGTAAGCCAAGTTCTTCATCCAACTTTTGTGCTGTGCTCTTTTTATCCATATATGAAACAAGGCTCCACGAACACTGAATGGCATCATGGCAACCACCAGAACCAGTGGCCTCTGCCAAGGAAATGCACTTTCTGTTCTGGTGAGGAGTATCAGTGGCCTTGCTTTGTTCTGAAGCTGAAAATTTGTCATCATCTGTTAGTTGTGAAACAATGGAAGTGAGTTCAAGTGATGACTGCCAGAATATTAAAAGATTATCTCTGCCATGGGACTCAAAAAAACAAGAACTGCTGTCAAGGCCACATATGCTGCTGAGATCACTACTTGAGTGTTCTAAAGCGAGTAAGTGGCTATTAGGTGTCTGGGAGCCACCATGAAGTTTCCTGAAATTGGAAAGCCGCAGAAGCTGCTGGAAATAGTTGATGACAGTGAAGCCCGCTACACCTGGGTCTGGTAGGACAACCTGGCAAGCTACTAGCTCTTTAACTTCTCTCCTGCGGCCAGGGCACTGTTCTAAGAAGTTACTGGAATCTGAACCTTGATCATGTTGGTTTTCAAAATTCTGTGAAAGAAGTCAATACATTTAAATGAGAATAAAATTTTCTTCCTTTGACTAGAATGTGAAACAGAGATTTAAAATAATTTCAATTCCTCTACTGTTATAGGCACAGTAGTATAAGTAAGAGAAGTAAACCTCAGAGTAAAGAGACCTGTATTCAAATCCTGGTTCTAAGATTTATTTAGTGTTGTGACTTTGGACAACTTATTTAATCTTTCTAAGCCTTAGTTTTCTCATTTATAAAATAGAGATTAAAATACGCAGGATTATTGTATTCGCAATAACACATGGAAAACTGTACTGCTTAGTAAATAGTAGTTGCTCAACAAATGGTAGCTGTTATATTTGTCATCAGTTTCCATAAACTTTGAGTGCTTAAGGGAATGTTCACACCTGTTTAAAAAAAAAGATAAAGAATTATCTAAGGTTTTAACAAAGCAAAGCTCTGTGGCATCTGGCTTCACCTTCCCTTTGGGTCTTTCCCACTGTGCAGTTAGGGAGTGCTCTATTCCTGTTTTGAAAACCCTGATTCCAATGTGGATAAAATTTCCATTTGTTCCCTTTAGCACAGATGAGACAGAATACGACTACTCCTTCAGTCAGTACATTCTTTACAACGTCTACTGCCACTTTTATAATTATTTAAGACCACCCTTCCTAACCTATTCTTAGAGTCATCGATATGCAGATAAACAAATATCTAACACTTCTGAATTTATATAAAGTTAGATTTTTAAAGCTCTGAAAGCATTTAAAACTAGGCTCTTTTGACTTTTGAAAGAGGAAGTTGTCACACATGGTGTTTTAACAGATCACCTATAGCCGGTTTTTATACAGTCTAAGGTGCTTCTACAGGTTCTCACATTTATGACTCCTAAAAACTAGAGAATTCAAATCATTTCATTACAATGGAAACGTTAGCAGAATAGACAAAAGAAAACTAGCATTAATTACCGTCACTCCAAAAATAAAGCTCTGTCCAACAAAGCAAGTTTCAACTGCTTTAGTTAACAGGTTCTGAGTTGCATCACTATTCAGTATTCCCGGAATTTCATTAGGATCTTGAATGTATCTTGATTGGGGGGAAAAAAAAAGTGCAAAGAGATAAACTTTGAAACTTTAACCTGCCATAAAGTTGGGAGATATGAACAATTAGTTTGAAAATGCAGCATGAATCTTTTGAGTTACATATATATAAAAAAACAGTGACTTTAAGAGCTAGGCATTTTGTTCCCTCTAGTTTTCCATAGCTATAAAGACAAAAACAATTGATCAAGTGTGAATAAAGTGGATGCCTGCCTAGTAATTAGGCCCAGCAATTATTCTAGGAGTAGCACTGAAGTAGTGGTGGGATCTCTAGCCCTTCTCCTCAAAGCAGAGGGAAGTCTTTCCTCTTCCCTGGTAATCCTGGTGGTGGTCCTCTCCTGCCTCTTTCTTCAAGTGAGTCTGCTCTCAACAATAAGGAGACAGGCATTTCTTCTGTCAAGGGATTAGGGGAGGAGGGGAGAAGACTGCTTATATATATCCTTGCATTCTCAGGACAACGTCATAATAGGTCAAACTATGCAGGTGAAGTTGTAATGCAAATGAGAGAAATAGCGAAATTTCAACTTCTGATACGCAAATATTACTACCACGAATGGCTTCTTCTGCCTCAAGGGACATTAACCATTTGGATGTAAATCTCAATTTGGATAATCCCTCAGTATGAAACAATTTTACTTTCTTATTCTATGTCCTTTAACTCGGATTAGAGTTTTATAAATTTAATATTCTAATTACAGCTTAGTTGGCCTGGATAAAAGTAGCCTGGTTTAACATCATCACAGTATGTATTCAGGAAATAAACATTTATTTCTTGATTATCTTTTACAGAAACTGATGATCTGAGGTTGAGTGGTCATCTTTTTACTAAATGTTTACTTTAAAAAGACATATCTTTAAATTCTATTAATATACTAAAGGAGTAGCTAGGAAAAAGAATGCTTTAAATAATCTTACCTATGTAAATCAGTGGCTGTAAGACCAAAAAATGCATCCAGGCAGCTTCCAAAAACAGTAATGCCAAATAATTTGTTTGATTCTGCAACTTTTACGGAAAGTCTGTATCTGTAACTGGCATTTTCAGCTTCACCAGTAGAACCACATTTTGGACAATTAGACCTGGAAAAGTGGAAGAAAAAAGTATAGAAATGCTCACCAGTTTATTTTTTCATATGATGAAAAACAAATCTGGAAAAGTAAAAATTAATATTTTGTGTACAAACGTTCCTATGCAACTTACATTCTTCTTAAACTACTTCAGATCAATCTCTTTTGAATTTCTTTACTCTAACAGCTGCCTTCACTGATTTAAATTAAATAGCCCTGAACTGACAGAAAAGTGAAGGGAAACTGTGTGTGGGGGGGGGAAGAGATATTCTTAGTGGATGGCTAAGTTATCATGAACAAAGTGAGACACATTACTGTTTGGGGTTGGGGGTGTGTGCAAACTAAATATAATGAAATAAAGACACCAATAGAAGACCTAAAAATTAATGTCTAATTTTCTGTTAAAAGAATAATGAACAATCTTGGAAACAGTTAATAAAAATTTATATACATAGCACCCAGTTACATTTTTCTCACCATTATAAGAATAACTTTACTTTCTTTAATTTGTTGGAATATGGTAAAAATTTATCAGATTATAAAAGCTAGGTACAAAACATGTTATTTAACTTGTTTTAAGGCAATGTATAATTATGGCCAATGTCTTTCTGGTCAAAAACTATTAAGTGTAACTACTGTCATGTGGTAAGTGCCTGGTCTTGGGATAGTTACTAAATCCCTTAAGCCTTGATTTCCTCATCTGTAAAATTCAGGGTTGAACAAGGACAAAAGGAGACAAAGCAAAAGAAAAAGTAAAGATCTATTGCCGATTTTGCCAATTAATAACTTAGTCTGCTTCTTTCTCATAATTATATTAGATATTGTGATGATTGCTGTCAATTCTACGCTTCCCTCCTTTCTAGTTGTTTGCAGTAACGTCTTATAACTTACATTCTTAATAAAACAAACTGACCAATGAAAACATCTTGTGATAATGGTTAATCTTAGGCCTTTTTCCCCTTTGTGTTGCTCAATGATTGTCAACCTTTTATCTCATGGCACACATAAACTAATTACTAAAATGCTGGAGCACAGCAAACTATATTTTTTGCTGACCTGACCAAAAAAAGGGTATACTTTTGATTCATTCATACCAGATGGTTATTGTTGTGCTGTTGTTGTCATATTTTTATTTGACAATCTAAGGAAAAAGAGGTCAGTGCCCCTGACTAAATAGTCAGGTATTGCATGTTTTAAAAATTCTTGTGGCACACTGGTTGAAAATTGCTGATCTAGCTTTAAAAAGCAAATGGAAAATAGAAAATGAAAATAGAAAATAGGTAATTGTAAAAATTTCATTGCTGCCAGATAGCCATTAGGGGGAGCCTAAACTCCATAGCTATCAAGGTGAATATTTTGAACAAAGGTTAATCCTTCATATAAGAAGTTATTGATTCATCATTAGATTTGTGCTAATTATTATTATTTTTGCTCCACTGAGGATGGATCTGTGCCAATCCATTCGTGTAATCTTACCCAAATTTGTTGGAGTTGGGTTGCAGTTTGGCCATAAATACAGCTTCTTTAAAAGTTATATAATAATAATGCATTCAAGTCTAATGTAAAATTCTTAGCAAATCTTGGAATAGTTAATAGGCATCAGCATTTTGCAGTTTATAAATGTTTGCAAAATACACGATTTCATTTTGATAGGTAAACAAGGCCATTTACTCCAATTTACATAAGGGGCAATTGAGATTAATTTTTGCCTAAGGCGACGAAGTTAGTGAATTTTATGACCCAAATCCAAGGCTTTGGATTTCTATCCTGGAAATTTTTCCTTGCATGATGTCTTATGATAAGTATAAGAACAATATGGTTAATAATGAACTATCTTCCAACTAGAGTATCAATGATAGCCTAACACAAACTAGGTTTACAATATGAATGCATATAAACACTAAATTATGTAGTTTTATATAGGGTGTCCCAAAAAAATGTATACACAAAAAAAGTGTAATTATAAAGCCAGGATTATTAAAATACATTTCATTTTCAAAATGTAATAGAATCTAGACACCCTGTATACATTTCCCTGTATATATATAATGAAGATATTTATGTATATAGTTTCCTTTGGGAATAAGGCTGAATTGAAACAAATGTTAGCATGGAGTAATACACATCAGAGCTTGAACTTTAATATGCATACAAATCACCAGGATCTTGTTCTAATGAAGATTTTGATTCAATAAATCTGGGTCAAGGCTCCAAGTCCTGCATTTCTAACAACCTGCCAGGTGGTACCAATGCAGTTGTTTTTCTGACCACACTTTGGGAAGCAAGAGTAGAGGCAACACATTCAAATTACAATCCCCAGATTTAACTTCTAGAAACACCTCTATTCTAAAATGTCATTTGTTATGGAATAGCAGTTTTCAAACTTTATGTTTAAAAATTATTAAGAAAACCAAAGAGCTTTTGTTTGTCTACTTATATTTAAAACTGATTATGGGAAATTAAAGGAAATTTAAAATTATTAAGTCTAAAAAGTATTTATTAATTTATTAAAAATAACAGACCCACTGCATGGTTAACAAAAAGAACATAGTTTTATGAAAAATAACTGTGTTAAAAAAAAAAAAAAATCAGTGAGAAGAGTGGCACTGTTTCACATTTTGCAAATCTCTTCAATATTTGGTTTAATAAAGACAGTTGAATTCTCATATCTCCGTTTTTGCTCAATCTGTTGTGATATCACATGTCATGTAGTCTTTGGAGAACTGAAAATTCCATTACACACATGTAGGAGAAACGAGAGTGAAAAGGGAAATAATGTCTTAGAATTATGAAAACAGTTTTGCTCTCAAAAAGCCTGAGAAGATCTGTCTAAAACAATACCTAAAATTTGTTACTTTTTTTTTTGATACCAGTTCATTTACTTTTCTAGTATATATATCCCTGAAATAGAAGTGGTTAGGTTAGTGATTCTTAGTGTTGGCTTGGTCCTGAAACTCTTTGAAAGTCTGAGGAAAGCAATGGACTCTCTCCCAGAAAAATGCACACATGACCAGAACACATGATACTTCACGTATTTGGGGGACTGGAGGATTCATATATATCTACAGCCTATTCATAGATCCCAGGTTAAGAATACCTACACTAGATGATTATATAATGTCCCTTCCAAATTTATAGTCCCATATTAAACTGAATATATACAATGTAATAAAAACAACTTAAAAAAAAAAGTATACTTAATGGAAGCAACCCAAGTGCACATCAATAGACGAGTGGAAAAAAAGCTGTGGTGCACATATACAGAAAGGGCAAAAGTAGGTTTACAGTTATAATACAAATAAATAATACAATAATTAATAAATAATAAAACAAGAATTTCCCGGCCGGGTGTGGCTCAGCGGTTGAGTGTCGACCTAGGATCCAGGCGATCGGGGTTCGATTCCCAGTGAGGGCACATGCCCAGGTTGCTGGCTCAATCAATGACTTTCTCATCATTGATGTTTCTATGTCTCTCTCTCCCTCTCCTTTCCTCTTTCTGAAATCAATAAAGATATATTAAAAAAAGAAAAAGAAAAAAAAAAGAATAAACTGTGTTTTGCGTACTCACCACTGTAAACCTACTTTTGCCCATGCCATATAATGGAATATTACTCAGCCATAAAAATAAGAATGAAATCTTACACACACACACATATAAAAATAAAGTTACTTTGATCCTTCATATGAAAAGAGTATCATACTCACATATATGTACACACATTGGTATATACATACTTATGTATGTGAATATGATAGTCTTATAGGAACGATCAAAAACTTTCCATACATATATTTTTTATATTTGTATGTCTATATCTTTACATACATCACAGAACCTTTTCCAATGAACTCTTGGAACCCGAATACAAGGATGAGAACGGAGGTCTTACTGAAGCTAAAAGGGGGCCCAGAGCCCAGCCTACTCGTCAGCACTCTCCATTATTCCTTCTCCAATCCCCATCTCCCCCAGAAGCACGAAGCCTTAAGGCTGTGCACAATGTAATTTGAAAACCATCACTGCTTTAAATCTTGGAGTTAAAAAAAAAGGAAAAATTAACCCCATAAAATAAGAAATACCTATTATAGTTTTTATCGCTAAGGACTTGAAGTTCAAAGAAAATCTTTAGGTAGCAATCTTTTTGTTCTTCGATGTCTCTAAAATCTTTTGCAAAGGATAGAGTATGGAATTCCTCTGCCATAAACCTGCTGTGCTGTAGCAGTAGGGAAACAAGAGTAGGGAATTTCTGTTTCCTGCGTTGGTTTGCAACTGACTTGGATTTCCTCCCTTGTGCTTACAGACTTTACTTTTACCTTTTGGAGACTAAGATTATCCGAGAGAAGCAATTTTGACATGAAGGATATATAAAACTTGAATTCTGGACAGCAAGAACCGAGGCAAGAAGGAACTTTCTTCTTCTGTTCATGTGTTCACACCATAGCCTGCAAAACAAAGGAGTCACCGGGGTGCAAATTTAATTGTAGGAGCAAATTCATCTCTGAGGAAAACCTCTTAACCACCACAGCAAAGCCAAGAGGTGTCTTTTCTAGTAAAGGTCAATGTGTTGGAAAACTAATTTTCTTTTCATGCTTAATTAAAAATATTAATAGAAAGAAAATAAGGTTTAAAACATAATAGTTCAAACAAACATTCTGTTTCTCAATAAATATTCCATTCTCGATAATTCAGGAAAACAGTCATTTAGCTTCTTTCACATCTTTAAAAGAAAAGCTACACAGAACTTGTTTCTATCATTAATAGAAGGAACTTAAATGAACTTACATGACTCTTTAAAGAACCTAAATTGGTGGGAAATGGTCCTTTTTAGCTAAAAAAATAACTTTATTGGTTCTCAGTATGCACATTTTTACACAGCTTAAAGAGAAAATAAGACAATTCATATTTTGAAAACAGAAAAAGCAAAATGTTATATGGTGAAAGGAGAGTTCAAAGTGCTTTAAGATCCTTGTATAAAACACAACCAAGAAGTAAAACAACAGAATAGCAATGTTCTACTCTTTTATACTTTTAAAAATCTCAAATGTTGGTTTGTTTACCAACATTTAAAACTGATTAGCTTAATTGTAGTATAAAATGTCTCTGCACATGTTCAAGATAAAGCTGTATCAATAAATTTTCATTTGTAAACAAATGGCAAAGCTTTCAATTCCTGAACATGGGTGGAGCTGTTTCTGAGACCGGCATCCACAAATTTTGACAAAGTGAAAGGCACAGGTTAAAAATCATAATAGAAACTTCTAGGCATAGCTCTTCATAGGATAATCAGAAATTTAGAAATGTGGTGACAATGGAAGGGAGATCTTAAAGTGATACTAATCCTGTCCATCAATCAAAATGACATTTCTATGAAAATAAAATCTTGCCACCTAAGGCAGTAAGATTGAAGCTTGCAAAGAGGAAAGATAAGCAGACTTATATAAATCACTGAGCTACATTATTAAAGGGAGCATAGGGGAAAAGCTAATGCTGCCTAACTCCTTATTGTTATCCTTATTTTGGGATCCTTCAATATATAAGACTAGTAAGGTTCTATCAGAAGCATGTATGTATTCCTAGATCTGGTTTTCATTTTAGGCCACGTGGCAATCTCTAAGGTCAAGGTAGAGAAGGTGACATAGGATCAAGGGGAAGGCAGAAAGAGGGGTCACACACACACACAAAAAAAGCACCTTCCTTCTACATCTCTAAAATCCAGTTTAGGGTATAGGATGTAACATGATGGTACACCTACCTGTAAGCTAGGGTTGATAAAACCGGGCAAAGCTCCCTCCTGAAAATGTCATCTCTTACCTTGCTCCTTACCCAGGCACCCCCACTACCTTTCACAGGCTGGCTGAAGTAGACGGAGCAATTGCATTTAGGTCTCTCCTCGCCCTTACCCCAAGCAGCCCATTTCCACTGTCCATCACAGGCTAGGCTAAATCTGAGATGAAGAATTTGATTCCAGGTCCCTCTTCAACCTTAACCCCAGGACACCCTCTGCCTATCACATACTTGGTGGAGCCAGAAAACACCCATCAGCTCCAGGTCTCTCCTCACCTGTTTCCCCAGGCACTCCTCTGCCCATTACATTCTGGGTTGGCATCAAGATGAAGTATTTGCCTCCAGGTCTTGCCCCTTTCGCCAGGCAACCCCTTTGGGCCTGCACAACCTGGCTAGAGCCAAAATGCAGAATTCAGCTTCAGGACTCTCCTGGCCCTTTAACTTCAGATGCCCTCTGCCCTTCACACCATGGCTGGGGCCAGGAGAGACAATTTGCCTCCAGGTTTCTCCTTGCCTGTTTACCCTACAGACCCAGGACATAAAGGCATACCCCAAAAGACTCCAGATCGCAGACACACAGCTGAATAGATCTGACACCAGACCAGGGTCTGGAGACGGAACCCAGATCAGTAACCAAGAACCCGTAGCTAGACTCCGGAGTTGGAGCTGGATAATGGACTCGAGTTGCCAGATGCCGAGGCTGAACCAGATCCTCACAATGTAAACAGACCCATGACTCAATAAGGAAAACTCACAACTCTCTAAGTCCAAGCAGCTAGCTTCACAAATGTATTAGAGAGGAAATAACTCACAGCACTTCCAAATTCTACTAAACACTGCAGAAATAGACCAGGAAGGTTGACAGAGTGAACAAAAATAATGCTTACCTTTGCCGGCAGATGTTCACAATCCTTCAGGTGCAGCAGTTTCTAGAAGTCAGCAGTGTCCCAGCCATTAATTTCATATGGCCGGCTCATCAGTACTGTGGGGGATAAAAACATTATTTTCCTCACACCTTGTAAGTTCTAACAGCTGGGCAAATAATCAGATTAACATAATCAGATTAACAGAAGAAATTCAAAGTTTAATACTTGCGAAGGGGAATTTGCATACAGATGAACAGCAAAGACAATGAAATAATATTAGGTATATCCGGCATTTTGGAAAATGGGGGAACAGGGTCTTAGACTTCAGGTGAAATGGGTGATATGCAGGTAATTTTCAGAAAGAGGAGCATATGTGGCAGGTTACTTTTCCTTAGGCAACCCCCGAAACAATAGCACACGGTGGCAGGGGGAGGTAAGGAGGTCAACAAACTCCTGTGTGGAGTCTGAATTTCTAAAGCTAAGGTGATTATGCTGAAGTTTTCTTCCTAAACCAGGTTTTTCCAACTAAATATCTTAGGAAGAAATGAGATAAGAATCATAGGTTCTTTCTCAGTCTTTTGTTTCTTAACAACCAGCTTAAAATTAACGTGCCGCCCGGCTGGGCGTGGCTCAGTGGTTGAGCATCGACCTAGGATCCAGGTGATCGGGGTTCGATTCCTGGTCAGGGCACATGCCCGGGTTGTGGGCCTGATCAATGACTCTCATCATTGATGTTTCTATCTCTCTCTCCCTCTTCCTTCCTCTCTGTGAAATCAATAAAGATATGTTTAAAAAAAAAATAAAAATAAAAAAATAAAATAAAATCAACATGCCAACCGCAAAACTTTGGCCCTCTTCATTCCCACCTTTGGAACTTTAAACAAAAGTTTTACATCCACAAGCTAAATTAGTAGATTGTGCCATATTTCACTGATACAATCACCCAGTCCTGAAAATAAGTTAATTTAGTTAAATTGTTAAATATTTATTTCAGGAAATGGTGACGTTGATGTACTCCCAAAATTTACCTCCTATTAAATGTCTGATTACTTGCTTATGTGGGGAAAGAACAAACCTCCCTCTAACCTCAAGGTTCTGTTCCCTGGTCTAATCAAACATATATGAGACAGATTAGCAACAGAAAATAACCAAATTTAAGACATACAAATGTATGGGAACCTCACATACACGAGAGAGTCAGAGACCCCAAATGCAGGAGAGGATCAGAGACGGAAAGGAAACATGGGTATGTATACAAGACATTCTGAGCTAGGGATGATGTAAGGTGCCTTCAACCGTCCTTGCAAAATGGTAAGAGCAGACGCTTAGTAAAAGGTTCTATTCCTAAGGTGTACACCAGATGGCAGCAAAAACGAATATTTCCTGGTGGCCTCAACTCAGGTGTTATTCCAAAGATGCACACTAGCTGGCAGTGTGCATCAGAGTGTTGAAAGGGGTCCCACTCTGAGGGAGTAGGTCCACTCACATCAGCTTTGGGTCGTCTCCATGTTGGGAAAATTATTACCTGAGAGAATATGAAGTTCTGTAACATGAGCTCTGGGTTTTCACCAGAGTAAGGGGTTGTGTCATATTAGCTCTGGGTCCTAATAATGATAGGGTGGGGCCACAGCTGAGAGTAGGGGGTCTGACAACTTTACAAACAAGAATTTACAACTATTTTCAAAGATGACCAGAGGGGAGAAATCACGTAAAAGTGTTTTATAGAATAAACACCTAACTATGGAATACAAATAGGAATTAAGGAGTTATCTAATGGTCTCCTTCAAGGGTACATACTTTGTCTAATTTTTCTAAAGGCCACCATAACAAGCCCCTGAGAAATGATTTACTCACCTCATATGAAAACTCTGGAAAGGGAAGAGAGAGGCAGGCAGAAGATAGAAAATTAAATAAACAAAGAACAAAGAGACAAAATCTCTTTTGTCTAGAGAAACACTGAATAATATTTTTAAAACATTACCCAGGAAAACTTTAGTGAGTACATCACAGAGTTTGTCCAGTGCATTTATGATAGGTAAAGTACTATTCTAGGGATGGGGAAGGGGACGGGGCTACAGACAGAAAAAACAGGCTTTTGTGTTCAAGGGCTTTAGAACCTATTGGCTAAGGCAATGTAAAACTGCCAATGAAGTGATACAAAGGCTAACACAATAACTGCAAACTCCAGACTTCCATATCTCAACTGCTTACCTGAGAGCCAACTGTATTTACATGTCTCATAGACATCTCAAGGTTTAATAGGTAAGAAACCTGAATTCTTAGTTTATTCTCAAACCTCTTTGTGACTTTCTCCATTTCAGTAAATGTCACTACTCTCCATCAGTAACCCCGGTTAGATACCTAAGGAGTCATCCTTCATTTCTCCGTTTTCCTCAAGTTCCACATTACACCCATAAGTAAATGCTTGAGTCTATTTCCATATGTAAAAGCCATCATTCACCCCCCCCCCC